TAGATAAGAATATCGTCAATAAAGACAATAACGAACTGATCGAGGTAGGGATGGAATATACGATTCATGAGGTCCATGAAAACTGCTGGCGCATTGCTGAGACCGAATGGCATGACGACGAACTCGTAATGGCCGTAACGAGTCATGAAAGCGGTCTTAGCAATATCTGACTCCTTAATCTTCAGCTGGTGGTAGCCTGATCGTAAATCAATCTTTGAGAACACACACGCTCCCCTCAGCTGATCAAATAAGTCGTCGATCCTGGGAAGCGGGTACTTATTCTTGATCGTCAACCGGTTAAGATCCCGGTAGTCGATACACATTCGCATGGATCCGTTCTTCTTCTTAACAAAGAGAACGGGTGCTCCCCAAGGTGACACGCTCGGTCGGATGAAACCGAGTCGTAACAGCTCCTGAATCTGCGCCTTAAGCTCCTGCAACTCCTTAGGCGCCATACGATACGGGGCTTTGGATACTGGACCGGCCCCTGGAATAAGATCGATAGATAACTCCACCTGACGGTTGGGCGGTCCTCCTGGAAGCTCATCTGGGAATACGTCCACAAACTCTCGAACAACTGGAACATCGTGAGGTGAACGTGCTCTCTGAGAATCGTCGACAAGGCTCACCAGATAACCCTGGCAGATGCCTCGTCGTAGCAACTTAGTGGCTTTCGCCATTGAAACAACATGAGGCAAAGAACGATTTTTTGAGCCGAAGAAAGTAATCGACTCGTCTCCCGGAAGATAAAGCGTAATCTCCCGATCGTGACATCTGATATCCGCATGATAAAAAGATAGCCAATCCATTCCGAGAATAAGATCAAAGTCTCTCATCTCGAGAACAAACGCGTCGGTAGACAAAACTCGGCCACCGATGGAAAGGCTAAGATCTGAAGCTTTAGCTGAAGTTATTATCTTTCGTCCCGAGGCCAAACTCACCTCGAGAGGATCGATAGCGATAGTAGCGCGAACTCCGATGGAATCAAGACATCGTCGTGAAATGAAAGTATGTGTCGCTCCAGTATCGAACAAAGCAAACACAGGAACATTATTAAGAACAACCATTCCGGACATGGTACCTGGCTGCTGCTCGGCCTCTGCCTGATCAACGACATAAACTCAGGCCTGCTGTCTGCCCCTCTGCTGCTGCTGCTGAGGCTGCCTCTGTGCCTGCTGACGGGGTTGCTGCTGTTGCGGTGGCTGCTGAGGCTGCTGCGCCTTCTTTGGACAACGGTTCACGAAGTGTCCGGGCTCGTGACAATAATAGCATACATCCTGACCAAAGCGACACTCGCCTCGGTGAAGTCGTCCGCATGTCGGGCACTGAGGGATCTGCTGTAGCCTCCGTCGGGTCCTCTTATCTGCCTGGGCACCTTTCCCTTTCCTCTTGTTGTTCTTTGGCGGCTGAGTAGATGGTAGAGCTGGCAACGGTGGAACTGAAGACGACTGGGCAGGAGCGGATGGCTGGAACTGCTCACGAACGGCCTCCCTCCTAATGCTGGCATCCACCTCCTGGGCAATAGAGACTGCACGTGCATACGTCTGTGTCCCGTGGCCTACGATGTTATGACGGACTGCTGGGTAAAGCCCGTCAATGAAACGCTGCGCTCGCTGGGCCTCCGTGCGGACCAAATCAGGAACAAAAGCTGCAAGTCTCGTAAATTCCCTCTCGTACTCGTCAACAGTACGAGTACCCTGTTGGAGCGATAGAAACTGATGCTCCATCTCGGCTCGGTAGTATGTGGGGTAGTACTTTTCGCGGATTAACTCCTTGAACATCTCCCACGTACAACCCGCCTTTTCGCCGGGACGCATGCTCCAGTAACCATTCCACCAGAGCCTGGCATCACCGGTGAGCTGAAGCTGAGCGCAAATGACGCGATATCTCTCACGGCACTCCATGACCTCGAAGATAAACTCCAAGCCCTGAATCCACTCGTCAACTATGCGAGGATCTCCCTGCCCTGAGAACTTCTCGGCATGATAGTCGCGGAACTGAGCGACCACTGTAGCCTGAGTAGGAACTGGATGATCGGGTTCCCTACGTGGCGGCATCTGAATATTGAAAAAGTTCAAAATTATTGAACACATGATGATATTCTGACTGATTACTGAGGCACACAAATCTCTTGACGAGTAACCAAAAATGGCCGATAAATAATGACATGAAACCTGAGAAACTCTAGAGTCATATCGAAAGATACTAAAGTCCAGAATTATATCTGAGTGTACTGATTTCTAAAGTCAAGTTTGAACGTACTGAATTCTAGAGTTATATCCGAACTCTAAAGTCTAAATCTGAATCGAGCATATTAACTACGTCTGATTACTGATTTCTGAGCATAGACAAAGTAATATGTTTATAACTGAAAAACTGAATCAGCACTTACCTGGAGTCGGCGAGGCGTGAGCGTGACGGTTCAGGTTTTTCTGAAAATTACTGACTGTAAAACTTTTCAGAGACGCAGAAACGTGCTCTGATACCAATTGTAACTCCCCGACTTTTTAATACTATCAGAGTACGCAATTTTTCGCAATTTTCTGAATAAATAAATAAAATACTTATTTTGCGAAAACTGATTCGGGATGCTACCGTGAAAAACTTAATTTTTCTGAAAACCGTTAAAATTTTAAACTGATAATTAAAACGGTTTAATGTCTTATCCGACTAACGTCGGAACAAAAACTGATAATAAGTACCGAAAGTTTTAGCGGAAGTCTAATGTGGCAAAACATATATACATATAATCACAAAAGTCCTGAACAGCCCGCCTGCTCACTCCTCGTCTCCGACTCTGCGACCTGAAAAACA